AGACAAAGGTTTCCACATCAAATAAATATGCCTGGAAGAATATACATTAGTTAAAATGAGTAGAAATATGAACACTAAAATGAAATATGAAAAAACAATACAAGATTAATTTTTTGTGAACAGAATGCACTGGGGAAATCATAATCATCACTGTTAACAAACTGCAAAACACAACAGGGCAATTAACAGAGTCGAAGAAGCAAACACTGCGCAGAAGAAAATAAAAATGTCAACATGCTGAATTTTAATCTCAGAGGGGAAGTTTGTCTCACTGCGACACGATTCGGAGACGACGCAGCTACAGTCACGCCGGTTTGTTGCCGGTGCAATTACCCCGTTAATTAGAAACTGGCTTCGGGTCCAGTGTATTCGCACTAGGGAAACGTTTTAACACGAGTAATTACGGTGTGAATATGCCATTTTAATTAGTTTTTACTACACCCCTTAAAGCAGTGGTGGGAAAATGATAAAGTTGTATGAAAAAAATAATAAACATACAAAAATATCATTAAATCACAGCAGATTTTTATGACTTCATGTAAAAAGATTAAGATGTTCAACACTGTTTTTGTTTGATTTGTTTCTCCATGTGCTCTACAGATATGTGGATTAAACAGAAATGTTGTTTAGTCAGTAGGAAAAGACTCCTATTAAAAAATACAAAGAAAGTTGGGAGGATGAAACAGCACAAAAGTTCAAAACTTTGCAAGGATTCTTAGAATTTCTCAAACATTTTTTGTTTGGATTTCCCCAAAGAAAGGTTATCCACAGCCTTGTGAATATGAAAGAATAAATTGTGAGGTTATAATTGAAAAAGAAAAATGAACTCTGTCTTTTTTTCCTTCTTTTTTTCTTATTTTACTACATTCCATCCCATGTGCTTATATGAAACAGAAACAGCCCCAAAAAATGGCAACAAAAAAATCGACAGTTTCTCAAGCTGACGCATGTGTATGCTCTCTCTTCCCCATTACTCAGTTGACTTTTTTCTAATGATTTGGACGCCAGAATTTGTGCCTAGTAGATTTATGAGGTAAGTCATGAAGTCACAGGTGTAAAATTTTATCCCTTGTGCTGAATGAACTTATAAGTGAAGTGTAGAAGAAACACTGGGTTTGTTAAGGATATAAATGTGTGCAAATGTGTGTGTAGAACAGCGCTGACCAGCAAACTAAAAATCAATAATGATCACACATCCTGAGTTATTTCTAGTCACAGAAGTACACGTTACATAGACTGCATTCGAATGTGTGTGCGGAGAGATTTGTGTGTTGCGTTTGTGTGGTTAATGTGTGCAAGTGCACGCATATGTGAGAGTATCTGTTACTCTTCAAAGTCAAAGCATAATGAAGTAACTACCGAGGCAGGCTCGGTTCACACGGAGATGACAGAGACAGAGTACGTGTGTGTGTGTGTGTTAGTGTGTGCAACCATCTGCTACTATTCAAAGCAATACATACTGAAATAATTATTAGTGAAGTATACAGTAAGTCTGGCTTTAGCTGCAGTAATTAAGATGTGTGTGATTTTATGTTTGTGTGTGTGTGTGTATGATTTTTATGTGTGTATTTGTGCGTACCTCTATAGCCATCTGGAACTGTTCATGTTCCCTCTGCAGCTGCTCTGCCTCAGACAGAGAGCTGGCATTCACCATGCTGGCGTTCAGCATTGACTCTCCATTACGAATCCAACCCAACACCTACGGACAAAATGTGAACATGTGACCAAATCATACATGATACATAATGGAAATGTCAAATGTACACTGAAATGGAAAGATCTTTCATGGTATTTATCATTATATCACAGGGCAAACGTAACGCTCTACTTCAAATACAGCAACAGAAAGGAGATGATCATCTGCAAACCATTTGAGTCAGTAGTTGTCCAGGCTTGTTTTCTCTAATTGAGAGTTTACACACATCTTGCAGGTGAAAACATACTTTAGTTTTATTTGTTTTATGTAATCTTGTGAAACTTATTTATAGTTTATTTAGTCTAAAGAGATTTTGAATTGCTAGTTCCTAAACCCCAAAACATTTTTACTGGGATATTTCCTTACTTTCAAGGTCACTTTTTAAAGGTTTTTCTAGCACTAACATGTGTGATGAATTACATTTTTGGGAAGCAGCCTGACTGATCAGTCATGCACATGAGAAGATCGTGAGAAAAGATCACTGTCCACTATTATTCCATAATAATAATAATAATAATAATAATAATAATAATAATAATAATAATAATAATAATAATAATAATAATAATAATAATAATAATAATAATAATAATAATAATAATAATAATAATAATAATAATAATAATAATAATAA